AGCCTCCCTGAGAGCAGAAGGAGGAAAGGAGCCCCGGTGAGAGCAGTGCACATGCCTTTCAGGCACCTGACTATCAAGGCCTCCAGGCAAGTGGGCTGGTTGTATTGAAGGGACACTCCCCTGGGAGCCGAGGTATAGTACCGAGGTGAAAAATAGGCCAGGGCCTCACTCCACCCTCTACACCCCTAGGCCACAACAGGGAGTTTGGGGTTGTTTTTCTAAGTGCCATGAGAAGCCATTGAGAATGAGCCCTAACTGGTTTGGCTCAGTGGATAGAGTATCCGCCTGTGGATTGAAGGGTCCCAGGTTCGATTCTGGTCAAGGGCATCTACCTCAGTTGTAGGCACAACCCCCTTCCTCTCTGTTAAAAAAAGAAATTTAATAAAATATATATATTTTAAAAGTGGAGAATGAATTGTGGGTTGGGGACAAGTTAGAAGGCCAGATGATGGACTAGGATGGAGGTGCAAGTGGGCAGAACTGTGCTTTATTTCTAAGGTAAACCCAACAAGACTGTGGATGAATTGTTGTGACTCCCAGGTCCAGAGCACCTGGGGGAATGGTGGACTCAAGAGCTCTATTTTGCATGAATTTTCCTTCCTTCTTCCTTTTATTTTTAAATATATTTTTATTGATTTCAGAGAGGAAGGGAGAGGAAGAGATAGAAACATCAACCAGGAGAGAAAATCAGTGATCGGCTGCCTCCCTCACGCCCCCTTCTGGGGATCGATTCCACAACCCAGACAGGTGCCTTCACCCGGAATTGAACCTGGGATCCTTCAGTCCTCAGGCCAGTGCTCTATTTGCCGAGCCAAACCAGTCAGGGCTATTTTGCATGAATTTCATTTGAATTGCCTATTAGCCATCCAGGTTGGGGGGGTGGGGAGTAAATAGACTGTAGCATGTTGAAGTCAGGAGCTCCCTGGTTGTCGGCTGTGGCTGGGTGAGAGCCATGGATCCAGGGAAAGATTGGCATACGCCAACCCCTAGGGCCAGGTCCGAGGAGGCGGGAGGGGCAGTCAGTGTTGCAAGAAAAAGGAGGTCCTGGTGGCGCTGGGTGCTGCTGGAGGGGGGAAGGGCTGGCAAGAAGGCTGAGGCAAGGTGACCTTGACAAGAATTTCAGTGGAGTGCTGAGGACAAAAGACGGGTGTGAGTGGGTCAAAGGGAAATAGGGAGAGGGTGTGGAGACAGAGGAGTAGAGATAAGGAGAAAAATGCTCTGAAGCGCAGCTGAGGACCTGGGTGGTATCTGGAGCAAGGAGTTCAAGGAAGTGTTTTGTTTTGTTTTTGTTTTTTAATAAGATACTACAGAGTCACTTCTCACTTCAGACTAAAATCTGCTGCACCTGGGGAAAAGTGAGTGGATCGCCATTACGTGGATTGGGGAACCCGGCACTCGTGGTTTCTTCCACAACCCACTGAGGTCTGAGACCCCGGGGGAGAGAATGAGAGGAGTGTGTGTGCTTGTGCCTGGGTCCCGGCAATACCTGTCTGTGTAAGGACCCAGCGGGGCCCCGGTGGGGAGACCTCAGCCTCCGATCCACAGACTGAGGGCTGTGGTGGGGGAGGACTAAAGCAGGCGCAGAGCACCTGAGGCTGCGGTGGGTAAGGGGGTCCGTGCTAGTTCCTCTGAGAGTCAGGTCCACAAGCCACTGGGAGAGGCCCTGGCTGTGGGCTTCCGTTTCCCCAGATGAGGGAGGAGGAGGCTACAGTAGGAATGAGGCTGCCCCTCTGACCCAGACTGGCTTCCTGGAACCATTGGGTCGGGAGGTCTAGGTGTTGGACCCCCAGAGAGCTGCTGGTGACACAGGGACACCGATGCAGACGTAGGCATTGTCCCAGGGGGCAAAACAGGTGACTTTCCAAGGGCCCAGCCCCCAAACACACACATCCTGAATCCGACCTTGTTCCCTAGGCAGTCAGCCTCTCTGTTCTTCAATTCCCCCTCAACCTCCATCTCTCACCCCTTGACTCCAAAGTCCGAGCCAAGAGCTGTGGGGTCTAGCTAGAGGATGAGGAGGATACCCAGGATGACTCCGTGTCTCCTCCCAAGTCCTGCTCACCCCAAAGAAAGAAGCAGGCAGCTATCTTCCTCAGCATCTACTGCAGTAATCAATAGGGAGCAGGATGCTCACGGCCATTCCCTCCCTGAAGCCATTCATCTGCGTAGAGGGGCCCCCTCATGTGCTTCCTGTCTTGCTGGGACGTGAACCGGGTCAGTCTCATTCACCTGGTCAGTCTTTGCATGGGGCTCCCCCAGCACTCCAGGAGCCCGGGGGGCTGCAGGACAGCCCTTCACAGAGGTGGGCTCACCCTCTGCTGGTGGGGCCAGCCATCCCCAGGCTGCAGGAGAGCTCAGGACTCCATCCCAGCAGGTGGTGAGGGCAGGAGTCCCTGCTAGTCCTTGGGCTAACACTTAGGGTGGAGGGAACCTGGGTTAACACTTAGGAGATCCTGGGTCAACCCAAGGCCCAACGGTTGTGGAATCATTTGCTGAGAAGGCCAGGTCAGGGTTCGGATGGGCCGGATGGGCCGACCCTGTCGCACATTGTGCCCGCGGGCCCGTGCGCACCACCACCTCCCTACCCGGGGGCGCGCGCGCGCACGCGCACACACACACACACACACACACACACACACACACACACGCGCGCGCACACACACACACACACACACACACACACACACACACACTCTCACACTCACTGCCTCCCTCTGCTAACGAATGAGGAGCCCGAGAAGGTGCGTCCAGGGCTGGGGTCCCGCCAGTCCAATAAGGAAAACTGGGCGGCGGGGCCATCTCGGGAAGGAAAGAAGCCGCGAGCCAAGACCTTGACCCCAGAGAAAGCCGAGGGCGTGTCGACGCCGGAGGCGAAGCCCCGGGCCGCCCCGCGAGCAGACCCGACGCCAGGAGGGCGGCGGCCCGCGGGCCGGGACGGAGCCTGGTGAAGGCGCGTCCGCCCGTCTAGTGAGTCCAGGCGCGCTTCCTGGAGGAGGAGGAGGAGGAGGAAGAGGAGGAGGAGGAGGAGGAGGAGGCGGAGGAGGAGGAGGAAGGTGTACCGCCGAGCAGCTGGGCAGAATGGAGGGGCGGGGCCGGCGGGCCGGGCCCAGCGGAGGCCCCCCGCCGAGGAGAGGGGGCGGCGGCCGGCGGCGCGCTTAAAGCCGGTCGGAGGGAACCCTCCCTCGCCCCGCTGCAGTGGCTGGCCTCCGTGGTCCCTGGGCCCCAGCTGGTTTCGTCGGAGAGAGGCCTGGGAGGGCGCACGGGCTCGAAGGAGCCGTGTCTACACGTCCGGCTGAGTCGCCACGCGCTCCGCGGAGGATCCGGGCCGGAGCCGCGAGGGCGCGGGTGAGGCCGCGGGGCGGGCGGGCGGGGGGACCCCGGCCCGGGCGCGCACGGCCTCCCGCGCCGGGGCGGGGCGTCTGAGCGGCATTAGGACCCAGCGCGACGCGGGGGTGTGCCCCCGGCTCCCTCCGTGTCCCGCCCGGGACGCCAGGTTCGGGGTGCCGGAGCCCGGGGAAGGAGCCCGGGCGGGCGGGCGTGTGTGTGTGCAGCCGCCCGGCAGCGGACCCCAGCACCGGGCGTGTGCTCCGTTTCCAGCCTCCGGTGGGTGCTGGTGCCGGTGGGCGCGACGGCGAGGCCGTCCGCCCTCCGCGGCGGAGGCGCGCTGGGCGGGCACTCGGAGCCGTCGGGGCTCCGGGGCATCGCGGGCGTCAGGGTCGTGAGGGCTCTCCGGCCCGGGGGTGAGTCCGGGGGTGAGTCCGGTTTCGAGGGGTGAGTGGCCTGGAGGGTGGAGAGGTGGTGGAGAGAGGCCCGGGGTAGACGCTGAGCACTGAATTAACGCTCTGCGTCGCCGCCTTGAGATTCTTAGCTTTGGGGGTAAATGCCGTGGCCCGCGGAGGGCCCAGGGACTTGGGGGCGGGCGGGGCGGAGCCGGGGGTCCCGGGCGCCGGGCTCTCAGCTCGCGGCTGCCTCCGAGGGCCCCGCTGGACGTCCTGCGCGGGGCTGCCTCCTGGCGCTGGTCCCGGGGCCGCTGGCGGACGTGGCTCGCACACCTGGAGTTTGTACGATTATTTGCACGTGGGTGCCCGGGGTGGGAGTCGGGTGTGGACCCCCGCCACCTTCCAGACTTCGTCCTCCCTTCCGCAGCCTAGTTCGCGCCCCGCTTGCCCTGTCCGCATCCTGCCTCCGCCCCCCTCCCCTACCCCGACCCTCGGGGTCTCCGAGCCTAGAGGCGCTTTCCCTCGAGCTCGCGATCCTTTCCGTGGCTTCCTTCCTTCCTCGCCCATCCGGGGCCCGGCGTGGGGAGCGCGCACCGCTCCCCCTTCCATCCCCCTGGAGGACCAACGGCTCCGCCCCCCGGAGGCCCGGGGCGTGGGTGGCGGCGCCCGGGGAGGAGGCCGTTGCCCCTTCGGTTTCTGGCGGCCCGGGCGCGTGAGGTTGGGGGCTGCGCGTGTGATGGGTGTTGATGGCCGGGAGGAGGGTGGGGGGCTTCCCAGCCCCGGAGAAACAGCACAAGAAGAGGAGCAGTATGCCCGCATCAGAGCTCGATTCCAAGTATTGGGCTTGGCAGCGAAGGAAAAGCCAAAGAACTAGGTCGGATAATACATCGAGGATGGAGGATTCCTCCTCCCACTACCTCAATTCCTCCCAGCCCAGCAGCTGGCTGAGGCGTTCTGTAACCAATGAATCCTTAGCTGTCTCACAGGCTTCTGGTAATTACTCTTGGAGAACGCGTGCTGAGAACACCTCTGCCTTCTCACCTGGGCAGTCCTTAGCAGATGGGCTAAAGAATAACTGGCGTGACTTCCTCGGGCCCCTCCCTCCTACTGTCCTCTGCCCCTTTTTCTCTGAGGTTGGCCTGGGTTGGGTCCGGGAAGGTAAGAAATTAGCAGGGGTGGGGTGGGGTGGGGTGGAGAGCAGATGGGCACTGGAGACTGTCCACAGCCGGCTGTAGGAGCTGGTAACAGTTCTTTGCTTTCCTTGCAGAAATCTCTTCCATCATGTCGCAGAACCTTGAGGATGCAGGTGAGGACACTCAGGAATGGGTGTGTGCCTAGAGAGAACTCCTTGATCCAAAGAATCTGGGAGTGCTAGTCCAACTACCTGGGTGCCGTGGCTTTGGCCACCTGTCTGTGGTCCTTTACTGGTGCTGGGATGCCTTTGGAGTCTGCCCTGAAGGAGTTTGTGGTGTTGTTAGAGAGGCAGCTGAAACGGCCTTGACAGGGACAGGTCTCTGATGGTGCTGTGTGCTGTGAGGGCAGGCTGCTCTCTCTCTCCTTGGCATGGTTCACTTTTACAATGATCAGGTTACCTAACCAGCCTTAGGCCAAGGATTTAGATGCTTACATTCCTCAGCCCCCACCCAGTCAGGGAGAGGCTGCCCTCTAAAGAAATGTGACTCTGCTTCTGTGTTCCCTGCTAGCTCCCGTCTAACTTTCCCGCCCCGTGTCTCTGGGATGGCTCTGTGCTGCCTCTCCTGTGCCCAGACCATCAGAGCGGTGTCTAGTGGGACAGTGCTTGGACAGACAGTGCTCTTAGGGAGGATCCATAGGGCGTGACAACCTCATGTGCCAGGCTGCTAGCAGGCAAGTTAGGCATGTGGCTGGGCTAAGGACGGAGGAGGGAGCTTTTCAGGACCTGGTCATGTGGGCTGGGGAGGTCCTAGGGAGAAGGTGTGAGGGACAACATGGGAATAATGGACACTTTGGGCGACAGGAGAAGCTGGGGTAGGCTGGGGCTGAGAACCAGGTTGTCAAATCAAAGGAAGCTTGGAATTGGGGAGGAATGAGTTTTTTGTGGACATGAGCTCCATAATAAAAATCAGGACACTTTTTTTTTAAATATATATTTTATTGATTTATTTACAGAGAGGAAGGGAGAGGGAGAGTTAGAAACATCAATGAGAGAGAAACATCCATCAGCTGCCTCCTGCTCACTCCCCACTGGGGATGTGCCGGCAACCAAGGTACATGCCCTTGACTGGAATCAAATCAGTCCGCAGGCCGATGCTCTAGCCACTAAGGCAGACCAGTTTTGGCTTTAGGATACCTTTTGACCTAATAGCTCTGCTCTGGGATCTAGGTGCAGAGCAGACCTCAGGCTATGGTTCACAATCCATGGGGGTCTTGAGAGGGGAAGCCTAGCACCTCCTGTGAGGCTCAGCACAGGACAACGTGGGGGACAGAGCCTGCGTTGTGCAGAGGAAACCAGCACTGCCTGGCAGGTGTAGGTGTGTTGCTGACCCTGCCCTTTCCCTGCACGGGTGTTAGGCATTGGCAGGGTCTGAGCCAAAGGGTCCTTTTCCTGGGATCACCCACAAGTGGTGAGCCAAAAGGGACCCATAGTCGGAGGTGCCAGCTGGGCCAAGAGTGAGGCAGCGCCCTAGGACTTGCCAGAGAAGGGTTCTGTGAGCCTTGAAGAAGGCTCTCTGGGCCTTCTACTCAGAGGGCAAGAGCTGGCATGGCTGGGGTGCTGGCCACCTGGTCTGAGGCATGAGAGGTCGAGGTGAGGAATGGGATTGGATCTGAAGGGCTAGGGGTCAGGACATGGGTATCAGGTCTGATAGACGGTGATCCCAGGGGCTGTGAGGCGCCCCAGCAGGGCTTGGGGAAGATGAGTACATTTGTACCACATCAGGAAACCTTCCCATAGGAGGGAGCCCGCGCTATGGGGCTGGTGCAGTAACAGAGGCAGACCAAGGGTTCTGTGCTCTGGGAGTCCCCAGGTGCCACAGCATGCCCCTCCCCCACCATGGGATGAGGCCTTTTCTGCCAAGTCCCATGCCCTGTCAGTCCGCTGCTCTATTTCTCAGGCTCTCCTGCTTCCTGGGTCTTGTATGATGGCTGGACTGTATCTCAGGCCTTGATGCTTTGCCCCCAGGCCCTACCTGGGAGGAGGGGCCTTAAGACCCTGTACCAATGACATGGGGAAGGAGGGGTCTGGATACTGCAGTGGCTCTGGCTTCCCTTGGATTCCATCTGGGTAGCCAGCCAGGCAGGTCTGGGTCCGGTAACCTAGAGGTTCTAGGAGGGCAGGGGTTAGGGAGTCATAACTGTGTCATTGCACCATGTTCCTGGCTCAAAGTTTGTAGAATGAACACACTTTTTTTTTTTTTTTTTTTTTCTGGTTGAAGGATATGGGTCAGAACAGTGCAAGGCCCCAGTTCCTGTAACTGAGAAATGTTGGTTGAAGGTTGTGGGTGGGGCTGTCAGCCATCTGCCATACTCTGAGGGGGGTGGGGCCAAGACTATAATATATTCTATCCATTTGGGCCTGAGGCTGCTGTCCTGGCCTACGCGAGGCTTCCCGGACCACTCACTGAGAGTGCACCAAGTGGGGCAGCCCAGACAACAGCTCCTTGGTCGTGAAGTCCCTTTTGGGGTGTAGCGCTGACGGCCAGGCCCTCTTGGGGTGTCTTTTTCTCGGTGGTGGTTGGGTCTCCAGGCTACCTCAAGTGTGACACAGATGATGCCTCTGAAACCCATGAGGAGAGCCTGGCAGAAGAGGCCTTCAACACCGTCAACTCCTCCATTGTGTCTGGCGAGAGCATCCGCTTCTTTGTCAACGTCAACCTCGAGGTGCAGCCCACCCAGGCTGGTATGGTGGTTGTAGCAGGGATAGACTGCGGGGAGGGCAGGGGACTGGAGACGGGCAGGTAGGCTCCAGTCCACCAAGAGAGACCCGAAGAGGAGGGTTGGTGCCATGAGCCATTTCCCTTTTTGTTTTTTTAATAGAGTCTGAGGTGCCTGGTGGCTGTGGGCTTCTCCACACCTCTCGCAAGGTGAGTGGCCCATCTGCAGGACAGGAGACATTGGGTCCTGGGCCACTAGTCGGGGCTGGAGGTGGCTGCCCGCCTCTCACTTCACAGGGAACTCACACTAGCCCAGACCTCATCTGGCAGGGCCTTCCCTCCTGGAAGGGGATGTTGGTCCTGGTGGGAAGGGGCAGCCGGAAGGGGCCACCTTGGAGAGGCCGGGTGGTGCGGCAGGTCTCACTCACGGGCCTGTGTGGGGTCCCCACAGTACCTGAAGTTAAAGGACTTCAAGGAAGAGATCCGAGCGCACCGAGACCTAGATGGCTTCCTGGCACGGGCCAGCATCATCCTGAACGAGACAGCCACCTCGCTGGATGAGGTGCTGCGGGCCATGGTGCTCCGCATAGTCCACGACCCCCACACCAGGGAGTCTGACTGCAACTTGGACATGCTCATGGCCTTGCTCTTCACGGATGCTGGGGCCCCCATGGAGGGTAAAGGTAGGGCCCATCTCCCATCCTCGGCAGGGAGGTCAGGGAGGTGGGCCAGCTGACCTCCCGTCCCCCTACACCCTGTCCTCAGTTCACCTGCTGTCAGATATCATCCAAGGAGTCACTTCCACAGTCACAGGGGTACAATACCAGCAGTCATGGCTCTGCATCATGTGAGTTGCCGGGCCACCACACGGGGCCTCCCTACATGTCCGTGGAGCCAGGTATCCCATGTCCCTGTAGAGGCCGGCCAACCCAGTTTCGGGGGAGAGGGTGTGAGCATTCCCATCCCATTTGGCCATCTTTCTTATCCCTGACAGAAGTCACTGGGGGTCCAAGTTAGGTTCTCTGGGTGGGATCCCCCGACCAGCAGTGGCAACTGTGTGCCCTCCCCTGTCCCTGCCAGCTGCACCTCCAAGTCCCTACTTAGGCGGCACGTGTGCATCAGTCGCCTGGTTCGCCCGCAGAACTGGGGGGAAAGTTCCTGTGAGGTGCGGTTCGTCATTCTGGTGCTGGCCCCACCCAAGATGGTGAGGAGGGGGTCTTGGGATGGATTCCTTTCTTGGGGAGGAAGGTTCCAGGCTACCTGGCTGTCTTCTTGGGGGCATCTCTTCCATGTGCTGGAGTACACCACAGTCCTGGCATCTGGTCTCTTTCCACCCACCCTGCCCCTTCATCGCGGCCCTCCTGGGTTTCTCTGTAGCATCTTGCTAGGTCCTCAAGCCCTGACTTCCTCCAGAGGTTTTCCAAAAGGTTGTATTTCCTTCGTGACTGAAGAGAGATATTGTTAAAAATTATTCAAATAGGGGCTGCCCCCACCTTACCCTTCTAGTTGACTGACAATGACTTGCAGATGTGATTCCCCCATTTCCCACCCCCCAGAAAAGCACCAAGACTGCAACAGAGGTGGGGCGCACCTTTGCCACCATGTTCTTGGACATCACTTTCCGCCAGAAGCTCCTGAAGACGCACACAGAGGAAGAATTCAAGGAGGCCCTAGTACATCAGAGACAGCTGCTCACCATGATGGGCCATGGTCCAAGCACACTGAGCTACAGCAGACACTCCAGCTTCCAGAAATCCCACCATGTACGGGGTCCAGGTGGCTGTGGGTGGGGGTTGCAGAGCACGGACGCAGAGCTAACCGGCATCCTGCTGTAGCCCCTGCAGCACAGCGACTTCCTCCACGTGGGGAAGGGCATCCGGGAGGACCTCGCCCGCAGGTTCGCCGTGTACGCTCTGGACTTCACCGACGGTATGTGCCCTGCGGTCCCCTGCAGCTCATCGGACAACATACATACCTGTCCAGCACCCCCATCACTCTCTCTGTCCTGTCCTAGGCATTATCGGGAAGAACAGGACTGTGGGCAAGTACATCACCACCACCCTGTTCCTCTACTTCGCCTGCCTCCTGCCCACAATTGCTTTTGGGACCCTCAACGATGAGAACACCAAAGGGGCCATCGGTAAGGGACGGAGGTCAGTGGGGAGCGCGGGGAGGGGGCCCAGGGCGTGGTGCCCGCCTGACAGCTCCACTTCCTCAGGTGTGCAGAAGAGCATAGCTGGGCAGGGCATCGGGGGCCTCCTGTACGCACTCTTCTCTGGGCAGCCGTTGGTGGTGCTGCTGACAACCGCGCCTCTGGCCCTCTACACGCACGGTGCAGTGAGAGCTGTGGTAGGGAGGTGGTGCCTGCGGCCCCTGGCCATGGCCAAGTTCTGACCCCCCACCCTGTCCTGCTCCCTGCAGTGATCCGTGGCATCTGTGATGACTACAGTCTGGACTTCAACACCTTTTATGCATGGATAGGCCTGTGGAACAGCTTCTTCCTGGCAGTTTATGCCCTCTTCAACCTCAGCCTGATCATGAGTCTTTTCAAGAGGTGACAGGGCCTTCCCTGAACTGCTGGGGCCTCTGGACTGGAGGGAGACTAAGGCCAGGGATCTGGTCAGCCAATGCCAGCCTCTGAGGTCCTATAACCCTAGAGGGGATGGAAAAGCCTGGAACTGGTCCTCTTCATGGCAGTAGGGCGGGGGGGCATATTGAGGCTCAGGGAAGCTTTCCCCCACAGCTTACCGCCATCTTATGAGGCATATCATCCCCTGACAGGTCAACAGAAGATATCATTGCCTTGTTTATTTCCATCACATTTGTGCTGGATGCTGTCAAGGGCATGATCAAAAGTGAGTATTTACCTAAAGGCCACTTGCTGCAGAGGGATCTGAGTGAAGGTGGGGGATTATGGGCTGTGACCAGGACAGTCGGCATACAAGCTAAGGCTGTTCTCGCTCCAGGGTGCTCTGGGGAGCAGCAACCTCATGTGCTAGAGGGTGACGGCTGCTCCAGGCAGGGTCAGAGGCACTGGGCAGAGGGACAGCGGCAAAGGGTGGGAGGAGTGGGTGGATGGGCAAGTCCATGGGGCCAGCTGCCCCTCATTCCTCCCAGATGCCCCTTCTCCCTTCAGGGGCCCTCCATCCCACATCTAGGAGGATGCTGGGCCCCCATCTCCCAGAACCCAGAAGGCTGAGGCCTTTTGGCCTATATCCATAGTTTTCCAGAAGAACTACTATGGCGGAAGTGGGAGTCACTACGTAGGACGCAATTCCCTGCTTAGCCTGCTGGACCTAGGCACCAGCCTCAACACCAGCTTCCACACTGCCTTCAACACCAGCCTGATCCCAGAGGCCAGCCCATTCCCTGAGCCGGCGCACCGGGACACTGCAGTGCTCAGCCTCCTGATCATGCTGGGCACGCTCTGGCTGGGCTACACCCTCTACCAGCTCAAGAAGAGGTGAGGGGGCCTAGAGATAAGGGGAAGGAGACACAGCCCCTGGACCAGCCTGATATACCCTCCTCTGTCCCAGCCCCTACCTGCACCCCTGCATGCGGGAGATCCTATCAGACTGTGCCCTGCCCATCGCTGTGCTCACCTTCTCCCTCATTGGCTCCTACGTCTTCAAGGAAATTAAGAGTGAGTTGGGACTGACGGCGTGGGGTGGGGTGGGGTGGGGTAGGGTGCCTCCGTGGAGTTGTGGTCTGGAGCAGGGTCTGTATCTTGCTGCAGTGAGCAAGTTCCGCTACAACCCCCAGGAGAGCCTGTTTCAGATGGCTGAGATGCACATACAGTCCCTCGGAACCATCTGCAGTGCCATGGGCCTCGGCTTCCTGCTCTCTATGCTCTTCTTCATCGAGCAGAACCTGGTGGCTGCCTTAGCGAACGCACCAGAGAACAGGTTCAAAGAACTGGGAAGGGAGGGCTGAGCAGGGTGCCCCGCTCCAAGGAGCCAACAGGGGCTCTACCCGGCATGTTCCTGCCTTTCTGCTGCAGGCTAGTGAAGGGCACCGCTTACCACTGGGACCTCCTGCTCATCGCCATCATCAACACGGGGCTGTCTCTGTTCGGGATGCCCTGGATCCACGCCGCCTACCCCCACTCCCCATTGCACGTGCGGGCGCTGGCTCTGGTGGAGCAGCGCGTGGAGGGCGGCCATGTCTATGAGACGTGAGTGTGACAGTGGCCTCTTGAGGCCTGAGGCGAGGATCACGTGGGCCCTAAGGTGGACAGCCGTGGGAGGGGTGTGGGAGGGGTGTGGCCCTGAAGTGCCCGAGCCTGAGAGCCACAGTGACCCAGGGTGGAAACGGCCCCCCTTGGCCTGGGGCTGGAGGTGATGCGGTGCTTGGGACCACACAGGATCATGAACGTTAAGGAGACGCGGCTGACCAGCCTGGGCGCCAGCATCCTGGTGGGCCTCTCCCTCCTGCTGCTGCCCGTCCCGCTGCAGTGGATCCCCAAGCCCGTGCTCTACGGCCTCTTCCTCTACATCGCCCTCACCTCCATCGACGCCAACCAGCTCTTTGAGCGTTTGGTCCTACTGCTCAAGGACCAGGTGAGCATCTGGCCGCGGGCGAGGGATGAGGGTGGGAGATACAGCAACATCAGACCTCTCCACACCTGGTTCCTTACCTACCACCCACAGGCCTCGTACCCACCCACCCATTATATCAGGAAGGTGCCTCAGAGGAAGATACACTACTTCACGGGCCTGCAGGTCCTGCAGCTGCTGCTGCTCTGTGTCTTTGGCATGAGCCCCCTGCCCTACATGAAGATGATCTTCCCCCTCATCATGATTACCATGATCCCCATCCGGTACGGGGGGTCAGGGGGGGGTGGGCAGAGGGCAATGGGGCCAGCTGGGTGGAAGAATGGGGCTGCTAAGATGGGGCCCTCTGCCTTCTCCCTAATTCAATCTTCATCTTTCTACCTACTCCCTCCTCCTCAGCTACAAACTGCTGCCCCTAATCATTGAAGCCAAATACTTGGACACCATGGATGCTGAACACTGAGCTGCTGACTGGCAGGCCCTGGCCACACCCTGTTGGTTGGTCCCTCCTGGTCTTCCTGGCCCGGCTGGGACTTTTTGTGGGGAGTGTGGGTCCCCCCTCGCAGCTGTTCTAAAGGCCTCGGGCGTGTGTGCGTTGTGGGGGTTCCATGGAGCGTGCCTGCACTTCCCATTGCCTTTTGCTTTGGGTAAAAACACTGCTCAGGGCAGCTTCTGCCCAAGGTAGGACTAAGTAAGATGGATTTTCTTTTGATAAAAGAGTCAGATGCCTGAAAGAGAAACCATTTCCTTGATTGTATAAGGAATTTGCTGTATGCACATTAGAGAATAAAGCTCCTGTTTCTACGCTGCTATGTGCTGTCTCACCCCTGTAGGCTTGCCCCAGCCTCTGAGGGCCTCCTGAGTGCCACAGGGAAGGGGCATAAAAGGGGTCCATATGTGTAGAGTGGCATTTGTGTGCTGTCAGTGAACGTTGGCCCACCAGGGAGATGTGGGAGATCCAGGCGGCCTTTGTGCTGCCAGGAACCTACAGGGGGAGAGAATGTGTGAGGATCCTGAGGAGAGGGCTTGGGGCCAGTTGAGAGTATGGCTGGCGTGGGGGGATTAGCGGGGCTGACAGCAAAGGGCTCTAGCTTTCAGAGACAGTTGCAGAGCAGAGCAGCCTGATTGGAGACTGAAAACAGGTGAGTAGGTCGGATTGGCAGTTTTGAACTACCTGGTCGGCTGGGTAGATTCTAGAATTTATAAGTAGGGGAGGTAGGGTGAGGGAGGAGCTGCATCCTGTACCAGGGCATTGCTGGTGGGGATGAAGGGAAGTAGAAGAAACCATATGGTGTGGATTGGCCTGATGGGGGAGAAGGTACCATGTTTCTGGCTTGGTCACTTGGTGGTTGGCCAGGACCCATGACAGGGGCAGCAGGCAGGGGAAAGGGCACCACAGGTCTAAGGCTCAGGGGAGCGCCCCTGTATGTACCTGGGAGCCCCAGCTGTGGTAGGCAGAGCACTGTCTCACAGACACCCCATCACATCATCTTTCAGGACTGACTTGATAAAGACACCATAGACCAAAGGAGCAGATGAGAAGACATCTGCTACATCTAAAACTAAAAAGGAACTAAGGTCTAGATATACAGAGAATTATTGCAAGCCAACATAAGATGGTGACTCTGACAAAAGAGGCAAAGGCTGTGAACAGTGAAAGGGCGGCCCAGAATATTAACAGGAATGGCCATAGAGGTTCAAACATCTCAGCAATGGGAGGACTGCAACTCAGCAGTGAGATGGCACTTCCGCTTAGTAGGAATCAGATGTCTGGATGATTGAGTGGGAGATGGGATGGGGGCTTGTGCACTGAAAGGGGGAATGGAGACTGAGGCACACCAAGACACCTCACCCTCTAACCGATCAATGCCGTTTGCGGGGAATGAGTAGCTCAAGTTAAAAGAAGGGGGACAGAAAGTGTATTGTGTGCTAGGACAGAGCTCAGGGGAAGGAGCTGAGTAACAAACAGGGATGCCTTGCCCCAAGCAAGTTGCATACACCTGCCCCACACAGGTGGTACATAAGCCTTTGTAGCCCCCTCCCCAGTAGCCTGGGTATCCCCTGAGCTGTGGGGGGAGGAGGGGAGAGTCATGTCCAGAATCACCAAGTGAGGAGCAGGCAGGCCCCCAGCATCCCACATCACAAATGTGTGTGTGTGTATTTTTAATTTTATTCAGAGAGTGAAAGAGATAGAAACATCAATGATGACAGAATCATTGATTGTATACCTCCTGCGTGCCCCACTGGGGATCGAGCCCACAACCCCAGGCAAGTGCCCTTGACCAGAATCAAACCCAGGACCTTTCAGTCCACAGGCACTCTATCCACTGAGCCAAACCAGCTAGGGCTATATGTATATTTTTTAAATGAGTTTGGAATTATAATCGTAATTTCAACTGTTCTGATGTATAACCCCACAAAGCAAAAGCACTAGACTCAGCCCACTCCAACCCAGCAAACACCATGGAGATGAGCTGGGCATTGGCTCACTCACGGGTGGGTGAACAGCATGGATCTGGCATGGAAAAGGTCAGCCCTTGATCTGAGACTTAAGAACGAAAGGAAAGATGTAACACTCCAGCTGGCTGCCTTTGTCTCACCAACACCCCTTCCCCCTCCACTTAAGAGGCTTCCTGCTCCTGCCAAAAGGGATTCAGGAAACATACCTGCCGGGGGCAGGTTCCAAAGCAGATAAATCCAGTTTATTTTGGGGTGCCTTCCAGGAATTTTACTTGCTGCATTTAAAACACACTAAGAATTTCTTCCCCTCAATTTTGTCAATACCTGCAGTCCTTTCGGGTCCTGGAGGCTGTAGGAGAGACCGATGGTGTTCCTGGCCCAAAGTTCCTCCAAACAGAGCCATCTGCTCCTCTAGACTGGTGGGGCTGTCAAATCTCAACACCCCCAGGAAGTGGTAACCCTGAAGGACATGCCTGAGGGGTGCCTGCCTGATGGAGGTTTCAGGCTAGCCCTCCCCAGATTCCCGGTGAGCATGCTCATCATCATTCTTAGAAGTCAGGCCGCCAAAGTATTTCTGCAGCTCGCGCAGGGCTCGGTAGCGATGGGAGATGGCATTCTTCTCAGCTTTGGGCATCTCTGCGTACCTAAGGGGCAACAGCAGCAGCTCAGAGAATAGGGAGCCCAGATCAGGGAGGGTACAGATCCAGCCCCCCCCATCCCAGTCAGTTCCAGAGCCCAAAGCTCAAAGATTTCGCAGGAAAGGGTAGCAGCTACTTTCTTAAAAATTGAAACGTTTGCCGAAAACGGTTTGTCTCAATGGATAGAGCGTCAGCCTGCGGACTGAAGGGTCCTGGGTTCGATTCTGGTCATGTGCCTTGGTTGCGGGCACGTCCCCAGTGGGGGGTATGCAAGAGGCAGCTGATCGATGATTCTCTCTCATCGATGTTTCTAACTCTTTATCCCTCTCTCTTCCTCTCTGTATAAAATCAATAAAATATATTTTTTAAAAAATTGAAACGTTTTATAGGAGTGGGGTGGGAGGGCAATGGAAAGATATGTACACATGTAATACCTTAATCAATAAAAATAATTTTTTTTTAATCAAAACGTTTTAAATTCCCCTATAGATAGAAACCCATATTGATGGTTGTGGAAGGATATTAAACTTACTCCAGTGTGTCCAAAAGTCATTAAAGGAAGCTGGGGACAAGGGATTGAGCTGCATGTTTGATCAGCTTTGTCATCTATTGACAGGAAGCAGTGGGGCCTGACAGCAAACACAGCAGCCTCCTCTAGCCCTGGGGGGAGGGCAGGCGAGCCAGCCGCTGGCTTGTCCTCCATGCCAGGACTCCAGTGAGGTGGTCATCCACACCCCGATGGTGGGCTTCAGATGTATGCTGTCCAGTATTGGCCACTAGCCATAAGTGGCCATTTAAATTTGAATCAATTACAACTGAATAAAAAGGATTTCGGTTCCTCAGGCACCCTAGCTACCTTTTAAATGCTCCACGGCCACTTATGACTAACTGCTTCTGGATTGGGCCGTGCAGATGTATACTTCTGTCACCGAAGAGCATTCTCGGACAGTGCTCTTACGTGTCCTCAGCCCTGTCTGGCCACTGTGAGGTCTTGGGCCAAGCTCCCTACGGGCCCCTCCAGCCTGGAAAACCTGACTCCAATAATGGCCAATGTGTCCCATGTAAATAAAGGAGGAAATTGGTATGAAATATTAAGAATACTCAGCACCAAGGGGGTTTAATGTGATGCCCTATAATAGAGTTAACATTTTCCCAAACTAGATAGAGGGAGTCTGAAGATCACTCCCAAAAGTCATGTATATACATGACAAGCCAAGATCAGAGAGAGGAAGCCACTGAAGTCACACAGCTGCTCTGCTATGAGCTGGAGCCCGAGCCCAGGTCTCCCCGCTACGCCTGGCTGTCTCCCCCACCGCGAACTGGGCCACCCAGATTCCTTGCATCCACCCCTGCAGAGCTGCCTTCAGCTGGAACGGCAGTCTCAGAGCCTGACTCTATCCATATCCGCATGCCTGCACACTTGGGTGGAGCACTGACTCCAATAAAAAATTGGGCTCCTTACGTTTGCTCGTATCCATCAGGTTGAAAGCAGGGGTCCCAACCAAAGTCCCGGCAGCCTCGAGGTACCACAATCCGGCCCTGCCAGAGGAAAGGGGGACAGGCATGTCATTGGGTTTGGAGGAGATACAATAGGAGGAAAGCAGTAAACAGTCTGAGTTTAGTTAGGGATTTGGTTACTAAAAATATATGGTTTCAATGGGCACACAATGCCTGCAAATGTTTGCTACACACACAAATAAAATGCAGTTCTCCCCTCACATACAGGGAGGAACCATGTTCTTGATATCTCTGGAAACACCCTCACTCTCTACAGCTTTGCCAAATGGTGACCTACTAAAGAGAGTCAACTGTGAAAACCTGACAGAAAACACTTTCTCCTAATAGGAGATTAAGGTCCCTAGAATTTGCAGATAAGCCCTATGCCTGCTACTATTACTGCATTTCTCAAAATGCAAGACAGCCTCTAACAATTAAGTGAAATAACATGATAGAAATCACTTAGCACGATGTTCAACATAAAAATGAGGTCAATAGCCAAAACCAGTTTGGCTCAGTGGATAGAGCGTCAGCCTGTGGACTGAAAGGTCCCGGGTTTGATTCTGGTCAAGGGCATGTACCTTAGTTGCAGGCACATCCCCAGTAGGCGGTGTGCAGGAGGCAGCTGATTGATGTTTCTAACTCACTCTCTCCCTTCCTCTCAGTAAAAAATAAATAAAATTAAAAAATATATTTTTTAAATGAGGTCAATAGCCTGGCTGGTGTGGCTCAGTGGTTGAGCGTCAAACTATGAAACAGCCCTGACCAGTTTGGCTCAGTGGTTAGAGTGCTGGCCTGTGGACCAAAGGGTCCCAGGTTTGATTCTGGTCAAGGGCATGTACCTTGGTTGCAGGCACATCCCTGGGGTGGAGTGTGTGTGTGTGTGTGTGTGTGTGTGTGTGTGCGCGTGCGCGTGCACAGGAAGCAGCTGATCGATATTTCTCTCTTATTGATGTTTCTCTTTATCCCTCTTCCTTCCACTCTGTAAAAAAAAAAATCAACAAAATATATTAAAAAAAAAAAAAAAAACTATGAACCAGATCATGGTTCAATTCCCAGTCTGGGCACATGCCTGGTTGTGGGCTCAATCCCCAGTAGGAGGCTTGCAGGAGACAGCCATTCTACAATTCTCTCTCATCACTGATGTTTCTATCTCTTCCTCTCTGAAATCAGTAAAAATATATTTTAAAAATCTTAAATGGGAAGAACTAAGATGGCGACATAGGTGAACACTGGTACTTGCTAACTCCCACAACCACATCAAAAATTACAACTAAAATACAGAACAACCATCATGCAGAACCACCTAAAATCTGGCTGAATGGAAGTCCTACAACTAGAGAAGTAAAGAAGAAAGCGCACTGAGACTGGCAGGAGGTCAGAGACATTGAGTAGGCTGGCCCAATACCCACATGTGGTGTTTCTTTAATCAGGAGGGATATTTCCAGGGCCTCCCCTGAGAAGCAAGGGGACCCAGCCCCACACCAGACCCCCAGCCCAAGGTTCCAGGGCTGGGAAGAGAAAAAGAGAAGTCCGCATAACTTTAGGCTATAAAAACTAGTGGGTCCCTAGCTGGTTTGACTTAGTGGATAGAGCATTGGCCTGTGGACTAAAGGGTCCCAGTTCCATTCTGATCAAGGGCACATGCTTGGATATGAGCTCAGTCTCCAGTAGAAGTAGTGCAGAAGGCTGCCAATCAATGATTCTCTCGCATCATTGATGTTTCTATTTCTCTCCCTCTTCCTTCCTCTCTGATATCAATAAAAATATATTTTAAAAAAACACAAAAAAGTACCGGGGATTGTGGTTGAATGATACAGAGACGGCTGGAGTCCCAGGTGTTCCTCTTAAAGCGCCTGCACAAGAACTTATATGGTCCTGACCTCCAGTGCTGGATGGCAGCTTTGGGGGAGTTCAGGGACATCCAGGGAGGAACTGGACTGTCTGGCATTGGTACAAGAACTTGAGGGTGAGTTCTCCTCGACAGGGGTGTTCACAGGGGTCATTGTTCCTGTGCTGAGACCTCCCCCATTGCAAAGCTGCCTGGCAACCCTATCTGAGTTTCCATCAGGATGGTCCACACTGCTCATTCACCCTGGTGGATCTCTGAGAACCTGCCCTATTCCATTTTCAGCTCCACCTGTTTGCAGCTGCTTTTCCACCTTATGAATGGCCTGTACTGGCTCTGTTTCAGACATTGCTAAAACTCTCCTAAACAAGCAGCAGCTGGAGTTAGAATGCCCAAACCCATCAAGAAAAGGTTCAAGACCCAGCACCAGCACCAACCTGCCTTGTCTCACAGCTTGTCCTCACCTGAGCACTTCCTAGCCCAATACAAATAACAGCCATCTATAGATTTCTCCAGCTCCTGCCAGGTGGCCCCAGACAGTGGCTGACTTTGCAACAATCAGGAGGCCTCAGAGCCAGTGACTCAGTGGACAGCTTCAGATCATACCAGATTACAACTCTACATATCCACAAGTGACACACTCAAGGGGCAAACTCAATGAGCACCAAGTCCCACTGAAGCAAGTCCTGGTCCATAGGGGTGTCTCCTGCCTAGCAGCTCTTCTATTATAGACGCAGCTGGTCCTCACAGCCAATTGGCCTGGAGGCAAATTCCTCCCAGTGATGCCAATTCCTTCTCATGATGCCTAGCAAGGCTCAACTACAACAGGACTGTGCACACAGCCCATACAGGGGCGCACCTAAAGTGCCCAGCTCGGGTGACTGGGGAGGCTGAGTCACTGGGCCCTACAGGACACCTACTATACAAGGTCACTCTACCAATTCTCAGGAGTCATAACAGCTCTACCTAATACATAGAAACAAACACAGTGAAGCAGTCAAAACGTGGAGACAAAGAAACATGTTAGAAATGAAATGAAAGCAAGCAAGCTACTGGATATAGAGTTCAAAGCAATGGTTATAAGATTACTCAAGGATCTTAATGAGAGCTTTTAAGGGACTTAATGAGATCTACAAGGGACTTAGTGAGACTTTCAAGGATTTTAGTGAAAATGTCAGACATAAAAGATCAGTCAGGCCCTAGCTGGTTTGGCTCAATGGATAGAGTGTAGGTCTGCAGACCAAAGGGCAACAGGTTTGATTCTGGTCAAGGGCATGTACCTGAGTTGCAGGCTCCTCCCCAGCCCGGGCCCTGGTCAGGACATGTACAGGAGGCAGCCCATCAATGTGTTTCTCTCACATCTATGTTTCTCTCTGTCTTCTCCCCTCTCTCAAAATCAATGGGAAAATATCCTTAAGTGAGCATAAAAAACAAAAAGTCAGAAATTAAACATACACTAATTGAAATAATAATTTAAAGAGATTCAACAGTAGAATAGAGCATTCAGGGAACCAAATCAACAATTTGAAATATGAGGAAGCAAAAAACATCAAATAAGAAGAGCAAGAGAAAAAGATTCCAAAAATATGAAGATATCGATAGTATAAAGGAGCCTCTAGGAAAACTTTAAGCATACCAACATCTGCATTATGGGGATGCCAGAAGGAAAAGAGAGAGCAAGCAATAAATTGAAAAACTATTTGAAAAAATGACTGAAAACTTCCCTAACCTGGTAAAAGAAATAGACTTACAAGTCCAGGAAGCACAGAGTCCCAAACAAGGGGAACCCAAAGAGGCCCATAACAAGATACATCATAATTAAATGCCAAAGGTTAAAGACAAAGAGAGAACCTTAAAAGCAGTAAGAGAGCAGTTAGATACCGACAAGGCAGTGCCCATAAGACTGTCAGCTGATTTATTAACAGAAAATTTGCAGCCAGAAGGGCATGGCAAGAAATATTCATAGCCGAAACCGGTTTGGCTCAGTGGATAGAGCGTCGGCCTGCGGACTGAAGGGTCCTAGATTCAATTCCGGTCAAGGGCATGTACATTGGTTGCAGGCACATCCCCAGTGGGGGGAGTGCAGGAGGCAGCTGATTGATGTTTTTCTCTCATGGATGGTTCTAGCTCTCTGTCCCTCTCTTCCTCTCTGTAAAAAATCAATAAAATATATATATATTTTTAAAAAATATTCATAAAGTGATGGATAGTAAGGACCTACAACAAGATTACTCTACCCAGCAAAGCTATCATTTAGAACTGAAGATCAGACAGCTTCACAGATTAGAAAAAGCTAAAGGAGTTCATCACCACCAAACTAGTACTACATGAAATGTTGAAGGATATTCTTTAAGAAGAGGAAGAAAAAGATTAAAAATCTGAACAATAAAATGGCAATAAATACATATCAACAACCGAATTTAAAAAACATTTAAAAAGGCATGGAAAGACTAACAGTCTCAAAGGGAAAAGGAGGAAGGGTGGAAAAAGATTAAATAAAGATCTTTTTAAAATATATATATATATATTTTATTGATTTTCCACAGAGAGGAAGAGAGAGGGATAGAGAGCTAGAAACATCGATGAGAGAGAATCATCGATCAGCTGCCTCTTGCACACCCTTCCACTGGGGATGTGCCCCCAACCAAGGTACATGCCCTTGACCGGAATCGAACTTGGGACCTTTCAGTCCGCAGGCCATCACTCTATCCACTGAGCCAAACCAGTTTCGGCAAAACAAAGATCTTATGTGCATGTATAATATGCATTACTGACAGACACAGGCAATAAGGTGGCGAAGACCGAGGGGGGTGGGAACCAAGTAGAGGGAGGCAATGGGGGGGAGGGGGAGAAAGAGGGACATCTGTAATACTCTCAAAAATAAAGATGTAAAAATAGATAAAAAGAAAAAAATTAAAAATGAGTTCAATACTGGCTGTAATAAGCGAATTTCAACAGAGAAATGTTACAAAAGAACAAATTATAGCCCAGTGTCATAAAATGTCATGTTGCTGTGGAAGCAATAAAAGGAAAAAGTAATTTAAAACTTATAAGAGAGGTAGTAGAAGATGGGGATTAGCCACATAAATGACAAGTTACTTAGACCAAAGGCAAGTTGTGCTCCTGCTAGCAGGAAGACAGAGGCAGTGACTAAACTACTCTGAACCATACCCAAGTAACACATTTATGAACATCTGCAGTAAGGCAGGCAGTGTTGTCAGCACTGGCCTTGCCTTGCCCTTAAAGAATGGATCTTAAGCAAAACAGGCATCAAACTTGTAAACAAATTACCAAATGCCAAGTGGCTTAAAGGGAACAAACAGAGAGCTGGACTCAAGAACAGGATAGAATGACTTGGGAAGGCCTCAGGGATAGAGCAAGAACATTCCAGGCAGCCCTGGCCGGTGTGGCACACTTGGTTGGAGTGTTGTCTCATAGACTGAAAGGTTGAGGGTTCAATTTCTGGTCAGGGCACACACCAGGTTATGGGTTCTATCCCTGATTGGGGTGAGTACAGGAGGCAACCAATAGATGTTTCTGTCACATTACTGTTTCTCTTTCTTCCTCTTCCCCTCTCCCTGAAATTAATTTTAAAAAGAACATTCCAGGCGGAGAACATTCCAAGTTGATGCCAAGGCCCTGAGATAGGGAAGGGCTTGGCGTATGCATTGCTGAAAGGACAGTGTGATTAGGTTCAGAGCCAGGTAAGAACATGAAGAAACAGGGCCACGCTGTGTAAGGTGGGGGTTGGGAAGCAACAAAGCGCACGAAGCAGCCAAAGCTGGAGAGACAACAGGGAATGGTGGGGAGAGCAGTGACCTGGCCTTGTCAGCAGGGCCTGTGGTTGTTCAAAGTTCTGATTTTTGAGAGAGAACATTCCCATGTTCATAGCAGCATTATTCACAGTAGCCAAAATGTGGAAGTAATAAAGGCTCATCAGCCGAAACCGGTTTGGCTCAGTGGTAGAGCGTCGGTCTGCGGACTGAAAGGTCCCGGGTTCGATTCCGGTCAAGGGCGTGTACCTTGGTTGTGAGCACATCCCCGGTAGGGAGTGTGCAAGAGGCAACTGGTTGATGTTTCTCTCTCATTAACGTTTCTAGCTCTCTCTCTCCCTTCCTCTCTGTAAAAAATCAATAAAATAAAAAATAAGATAAAAAAGAATTCAATTAAAAAAAAAATAAACGCTCATCAACTGATAAATGGATAAAGAAAATATGGCATATACATATAATGGAGTATTACTCAGCCTTACAAACAAATTCATGCTACAACATGGCTGATTCTTAAAGACATTATCATAAATAAGCCAGTCACAAAAACATAAATACTATAGCCTTCTCTTATATAAGGTATCTAAAGTTGTCCAACTCTTAGAAACTGATGCCAGGGGCTAAGGAGGGGGGAAAGGGAAAGTTGCTAGATATCTGTTGCACAAGTGTGCATATAGTTAACACTACTGTACACCTAAAACAGTGAAAATGGCAATTTTTAAAAAAAATATTTTATTGATTTTTTACAGAGAGGAAGGGAGAGGAATAGAGAGTTAGAAACATCAATAAGAGAGAAACATTGCCAGCTGCCTCCTGCACACCCCCCATTGGGGATGTGCCCACAACCAATGTACATGCCCTTGACCAGAATCGAACCTGGGACCTTTCAGTCCGCAGTCTGATGCTCTATCCACTGAGCAAAACCATTTTTCAGCGAAGATGGTAATTTTTATGTGTTTTTTACCATACACACAATATAACCAGGTAGGGGCAACACACCTGTGGTCAATCCCTGGTGGAGATTCTGGGATAGTGCGTTGGGGGCTACAGTGGACTCTTGGATTTTATCCTGAGCAGAAGAGAGAAAGCAGGAGTGAATCCCCACAATGTGGGAATATATGGGGAGGGCGGGGATGTGGGAGAGAGAGGAGATGTTGGCAGCCAGCTCAGAGAGCAGTGTGGGCCCTGTGAGAAGTTGCTGAACCCCACAGGTAGGCATGAGATGCTGAAGGACAGCTGGGGAAGAAGTAAGTTGGAGAAAAATCTATATAAACATAAAAAGTTAGAAAGCCTTTGTGATATTCAAGTAATTGGATAAGGAGATTGGAACTTGGAGAAGTCGGGGATGTAGATGTAGCTTTGGAGTTGTCTTCAGTTTCCACATTTGCTTCTGGGGAGGGCATATAGTGCAGAGCTCTGGGTACACAGGGCCTCAAGATCTGAGCCATATGTTCCCCTCAAACACCAGCCTCAGGGGTCACGCAGATTTCGGAACTGACAGCATTTCTCTTGGTGGTGCCTGAGGCAGATCTGGGCAAAGGCCTGTGAACTAACTCTGCCCTGGATGCCCTCCCACTACCTTCCAGCAGAAGACACTGGGCCAAGAGCTAGAGGCTCAGCGCCCTCTGGTGGCATATTGAGGAACAAGCATGGGTACTCACCGAGGTCCGGCCCCGGAAGAGGCGAACCGGCTCACTTGCGTTGCCAGTGCTGAAGGCAAATGTACAGAGTGCATAGGCCGACTTGTCCTCGAACCCCGCCAGGAGCTGGTGGAGACCTGTGGACAGGTGCAGTGAGGGCTCAACGCAGTTTGTGCCGGCCAAGGCCCACTCCCCACCCTGAGGTCCCAGGTTGGGGGACATATGCCAAACTGGGTGTTTTATACATGTCATTAGATAGGCTTTGTGGTGATAAACCTGGAAGTTGAGTCATAGGAGATGGGGTTTATTATTCTGTTCTACTATTATATATGCTTAAATGCTCATTAATATAAAATGTTTTTAGCAGCACCTAAAGAGAGAACATTTTGACCTGCAACTGTAGGTGACAGGGTATGCATTGCCCAGGAGGGGACCCGAACCCCAAGGCCAGGCCCTGGCAAAGGCCCTGGCAAAGGACAGGAAAACAGTCAGTAGGGCCAGTCTGCTTACCCCCAAATCAACTGCAGTACCTTTGTCCCTGAAATTCACAGCTCCCACCACCCCTTTCCCATCCACTCCTTCCATATCTCAGCAATCCCTAGAGCAGTGGTGGGCAAACCGCGGCTCAAGAGCCACATGCAGCTTCTTTGGCCCCTTGAGTGTGGCTCTTCCACAAAATACCACGGCCTGGGCAAGTCTATTTTGAAGAAGTGATGTTAGAAGTTTAAGTTTAAAAAATATGGCTCTCAAAAGAAATTTCAATCATTGTACTGTTGATATTTGGCTGTGGACTAATGAGTTTGCCAACCAATGACCTAGGGTCAGGTGTGCAAGGAAAGTATGAGCTGCAGGTTTTAGATGGGGAAACTGAGGTGAACAGAAGGGATCCATGGTTGGGCTGAACCTGAGATTCCTGATTACTAGTGGGGCCCTCCCATAGACCACCTCGGGATTCTCAATTCCCAACAGATCTAAAGGAAGAAATAAAGGACATGATACCTTCAGGCTTTAATTTCTCCAGAAACCACTTTCTGTAAGACAAACAAAGGTGAGTCAGACACCAGCAGATGGATCTTTGGACCACCTTCTTCTCTGGATTAGAACCCTCGGACAGCCAAGCAATTCACATGATAAAGAATGTCTCGCCCTGGGCAGCATGGCTCAGTTGGTTGGGCATCGTCCAGTGCACCTAAAGGTTGCAGGTTCAATTCTCAGTCAGAGCACACACCCAGGTTGAGGGCTCAATCCCCAGTAGGGAGCATGCTGGAGGCAGCCAGTCCATGTTTTGCTCTCACACTGATGTTTCTCTCTCCCTCTTGCTTCTTCTCTAAGAAGCAATTTAAAAACAATTTAAAACAAACAAAAAGGATGTCTCAACTCAAAATGAAGACAAATCATAGAAAAAAGAAAATGGATGCAAATAGGCAATGCATAGAAGAATCAATAATTCAATGAAGGCCTCAAGCTGAGTGATAATTAGGCAAATGTAAATTAAAACTGCATGTGATAACACTTCATACTCCCCACATTGCAAAATATGGAGTAATGCATACTATAAGTGTATATAGGTGCTATTGCCTTGACAAACATATTGGCAATCTAAATGTTAAATATATACATATCCAAGACCCAGTAGCAGCATTGGTAGGCATTTGCCCCCTAACCACAGAGAAGGGTATTTAAATTGGGGTATTTGTACCTTAGAGCTACAACAAGACTTTCTAAGAGGGTCCCGGGCATTAGATAGGAAATCCATTTTCAGATCTTGACTTTCTTGTTTTCTTTTTCCTGAAATCCATCTATCCAGGAATGTATCTCTTCAACGGGTGGGTTCCCCTTGCCCATCTCCACTTACACAATCACATTCTCACACTTGACAAAAGGCATGCTTTTCCCCATCCTAATTCTTCCTCAGGACAATCTGAAATAATGGTGTTGATGCCAAGATAGTATATGATCTGCGATAACAGGTAACCAATCATTTCTAAGTTCAGATGGTCTTGGGAGCAGGGTCCTATGAGGGGGAGCACTCACATGTAGGGGCCAGGGAGGCCCCCAAGGGCATTGAAGCACAGACAGGTATCCTCCACCAGGACAGGCCCCTGTACCTGCAGCACAAGGAAATACAGCCCTGAGACCTGTGACGAGCAACAGTCCCGCTGCAGCCCTGAATTCCCAGGTCATCCATGCTGGAGCCAGGCCCACAGCTGGTTGGAATCTGCAGCAACAGGATACAGAGGTCCATCCACCTGCTACCAGGATTAGCCCTTGGCTAAACTCTTAAATTAATTTTATTCTTTTTTATTATTATTGATTTTTTACAGAGAGGAAGGGAGAGAGATAGAGAGCCAGAAACATCCATGAGAGAGAAACATCTATCAGCTGCCTCCTACACACCCCCTACTGGGGACGTGCCCGCAACCAAGGTACATGCCCTTGACCAGAATCGAACCTGGGACTTTTCAGTCCGCAGGCTGATGCTCTATCCACTGAGCCAAACTGGTTTCAGCAGTCTCTTATATTCATTTTAGAGACAGGGACACCAAAAGCCCTGGCAGACTATAAAGCTCGCTCCAGGCACAGTAAGAGAAAAGGTGGGATTCAGAGTCAGGCAGCCTGACTCTTCAGGAAGTGCTCTTTCTCAGTTCCACAGAGACAAGTGAGTCCAGGGATGGATGGATGTGGAGAGATTTTGGGGCTGGAATGTATGTATCTGAAAGTTAGAGAGAATTATGTTTCATAAGTGGTGGTCTGGGGAAATACTATACAGTCAAGGTTGAGAAAGACACTATTCCAGGGCCAGAACAGCTAGGCCTGGGCAGATTCTTGAGTCATACCAAATTGTGCCCACGCTATTGTTCTCCCCAGCAGGCACAGGCCCCAGGAGCCACCAGGACAAGAGAAGTGAGTAGAGCACACATGTGGAGCAAGCACCTGGCGAGCTGCCTCCTTACACTTCTGTATGGAAATCTCATCAGGCTCTCCCTGGTACTCCGGCACTTATGAGGAAAAAGACAAACAGTCAGGTCACCAGCAGACAAAGACATCAAACTATCTTTTAAAAATAAAACAAAACAGAGACATACGGTCAATTTTCTTTGCCACCAAAGTACATGGAAATTTGTCTCCTAGAATCTGAATGACCTGTTGCAAAATGAAAAAACATTTATCACCATTTGTTAACGATTCCCCATAATATACAAGTTCTCATCCACCATTCTAATCAGTAACTCTCCTGTCAACATTCTAAAGCTTATTAATCAGGCCCATGATCCTCACCCCAGTCTTCAGGGTCGGCCCAGCAGGTCAGCTCCCTCATCTCCACAATCTCCTACTTGAGGTCTCCCATGATAACTGCCTATCCAGAACACCTTCTTAATGCTCCCAGAAACCCTATTTTAAAAATATATATATTTTATTGATTTTTTACAGAGAGGAAGAGAGAGGAATAGAGAGTTAGAAACATGGATGAGAGAGAAACATACATCAGCTGCCTCCTGCACACCCCCTACTGGGGATGTGCCCGCAACCAAGGTACATGCCCTTGACAGGAATCGAACCCAGGACCTTTCAGTCCGCAGGCCGACGCTCTATCCACTGAGCCAAACCGGTTTTGGCAGAAACCCTATTTTTTATTTCACTTATTTTTTTTATTAAATGTATTGGGGTGACATTGGTTTAAAAAAAAAACTTTATTTTTAATAACCCCTAGTTGAAATTTAGCATCTCTTTTAATTTTGAATATAGAATACCAAAATAGTATTAACAGTTTCTCTGACCTTCCCTCCCCTCTCCATTGATTTTTAGAGAGAATGGAAAGAAGGTAGGGAGGGTGGGGGAAGGCCAAAGATCATTGTGAGAGAAACACATTGAATGGTTGCCTCCTGAGTCCTGACCTGAGGCAGGAGTCAAACCTGAAACCCAGGTATGTTCCCTTGATCGGGAATAGAACCCATGATCTTTCAGTGTGTAGGTCGACGCTCCAACCACTGAACCACGCCGGCCAGGGCACCTGTGGCCTTTAAACCTTTAAATCCCAAATGTCACCCAGGCAGGTGTGGCTCAGTTGGCTGGGCGTCCTCGCTGGCACCGAAAGGTAGCCGAGGCTGCATGTTTGATCCCCCGTGGTGGCCGTGCCAAGGACCCCGCCACTCCTCTGAGCTCACAAGCCCTGTGTCCCCGGCCGCCCCCACTCCGCGCGGTCCAACCCGTTCCACCCGCTCCGTTCGACCCATCCCGGCGGGTCCGGCGCTCCATTCCTCCCGCGTGCCTCTCCCGCGCGCTTCCTCCTCCCGGACCCCAGCTCTCCGCCCCCTCCCCAGCCGCCTCCGGGCAGGCCTCCCACACCCTCCTTGCACCTCCTCCAACTTCTTGGCGTTCCCCGTGACAAACACGAGCTCCTTCCCGGCCAAAGAGGCCGCCATAGTGAGCATCAGCTACCCCGCGGCCCCACCGGAAGCCCCTCCACCGCGGGGGGCAGGCACTTCCGGCCGGCGGTGGAAGGGGTGGCAAGGCGGTCTCGGGGCTCCGTTGTGCGCCTCGGGCAGCGGCGACAGCCTAACCGGCTTGCAGAGGGAAGGCCTCGCTCGGACCCGGGGAGAAGTGAGCCGTTTTTCCAGATGAGCAGCCTCGGGCGCCGCGCGCTAGAAGGAGGGATGTGGCGCGGTCACCCTGCTCCGCCGGGCAACGGTCTTCCTGAGTGGAGATTGGGTGCCCCGACCAGCGGCGCTATCAGCAGGGACCAAAAAGATATCATTCCAGCCATCGGCCCTCCGCAGCTGTCGCCCTTCTCTGGAACTTGAGCACCTAGCGAAGCAAAGAACTCCATAATCCCTACCCCGAGTTCATCACCCCTTCTCCATACTCACGTCTCAGCCAGATCTTTGCATCCTGAAGGCAGCAAAGAGCAGATCCACCTTGGCGACAGACCCACTGCTGACTCCTGTATTGGGCTAGTCACCTGCCTCCCTCCTCTGGAGACTCAGCAAGGGCAGGTGTAGGGCCAGTTCTACTCACGGTGAGGCAACTTCTGTCACAGGAGTGTCAGTACCCTGGAGGTCGATCCATGTGCCTGGATGAGTTATTTTGCTTAATGTTAATGACCTCTGACGATCTAGAATTTTTTTTTTTAGGTCCCAAAGAATTTGTCCTTAGGGAATATTAAACTTCCATGCTATCTGAAAACTTTGCTCAATGATCATAACGTTAGTATTGCACTAAAATACATTACTGTGTTCTGGGGCAGGTCCTAAAGTTTCTGAGTCAGTACTATGTCCACAATGTGATTTATGAAGCTCCATGGAATTAAATCTGGAAAGGAATGGGCTATATTCAGGAAGTGGGTAGCCCTCCCTCTATGTCATGTATCTTCCTTCTTCATGAAGTCATCCAGGTTTCCCTGATCAAAGCTGACCTCCTGGCTGTTGAAAACTTAGGCTAAGAGGAGCTTGCCAGGGCCTGGGCAAGACACCTTGTGTACTACAGACAAGAACCATGTGCTGTGTCAGCTGAGAGAACCACCTTGTTTGGGGAGGCTGATCAGTCACTGCAAGCTGTAGGAGCTCCCAAAGGGTTAATAGCAGGGAATATTGTGAGTGGATATTCACTGTAGATAGACCTCACTCTAAATCTGAGCTCAAGAGCTTGGGGAGAGGGAGAAGGTGAATACAAAAAAATTGTACACTAAAGTTTGTATATGTGTGATCTCTAGTCAGATTCTTGGTTGCAAGGGTCAGAAAACCAGCTTAGGCAAAACAAAACAAGAAAGAAATGTATTGATTGATTCACTTAACGGATGAGTCTACCTATAAAGAGACAAAGTGCTTAGTTGCTCTGAACAGAAAGGAAGGAGAGCCCTGGCCAGGTAGCTCAGTTCGTAAAAGTGTTGTCCTGAGAAGCCAAGGTTGTGGGTCTAATCCCTGGTCAGGGCACATAAAAAAAGCAACCAATACAATAAATTTTAAAAAGAAAAAGGATGGAAAATAATCTGTCAATCATTCATTCATTCATTAAATTATGCTAGAATTACAATGTGTGAATTTTTACCCCCTTTAACAAGGAATATCTGGAAATATCATTAGAATTTGCACTCTCCTCGATTGGGGAAATCCAGTTAAGAAAAGAAGGATGATTCTTGCCCTCAAAAAAGCTCCTCAGGTCCTATCAATTCTACCTCTGAAATAGTTCTGGAATCAGTCCCCTCCTTTTCACCCCCAATGCTACTGTCATGAGTCCAGTGCTGTTGTGAACCAGGAAGATAACTCTCCCTGCCATTTTCCACCCCTCCTGTCTGCCCACAAATCTTAAGAGACATGATTGGGGTCCAGGACTCTGAGAACCTGAGAACTGCAAATGAAGGCTATAAACATACCTAATTGAGGCGACAAGGAAGGGTTATCTCTACTGACAGATTGTTGTTTTGCCCTTCCAAGCAACTTCTGAGCACAGGCAAATTATGACAATTTTTAGTCTTAATTTTTACTTTTTAATAAAACTTTTTATTGTGGAAAATTTCACACTTATACAAAATGTCAAACTTACGAAACAGAAGGAAAAAGCAGAATAATGAGCCCCTATATACCCATCACCCAACTTTAACAATTGTTGACATTAGCTTTTTAAAATATATTTTTTATTGATTTCAGAGAGGAAGGGAGAGATAGAAATCGCAATGATGAATCATTGATCAGCTGCCTCCTTCACGCCACCTACTGGGGATTGAGCTTGGAAATCGAATCCACCTTGACCTCCTGATTCATCCATTGGTCTATACTCAACCACTGAGCCATGCCAGCTGGGCAACATAGCTATTTTTATTAAATCTCTCCTGCCTGTTTGGCTTGTTTAAATTTTAATTTTAAAATGTAAATTATGAAATATTCCAAACTTACAGAAGATAATAAAATTGATGCTCAAGATTCCACTATTCCAATTTAATAATGTGGTATTGTTTAGTACTTTTAAACATACATAGCCCTGGCTGGCATTGTTCAGTGGTTAGGGACTTGGCCTGAGCTCTCAATTCCTGGTCAAAGGCATATATATACCTGTGTTGCAGGTTGGGTTACCTGCTCTCCCGCTTCCCGGCAGGGGCATGTGGGAGGCAACCAATAGATGTGTCTCTGTCACATTGGTGTTTCTCTCTCTGTTTTTTCTCTCCCCCACTCCGTCTTCCACTCTCTCTAAAAAAAGAAGAAAAAAATCAATGGGAAAAATATCCTCACTCCTCAGGTGAAGATTAAAAAAAAAATACATAAATGTTGTTACACTGCACATGACCATTTGCAGTAATTTCCACTTATTGGGAGTTAACATGTCATATTTTTTCAAATCTACCACCACCAACAACGCATATACACCATTGGTCCTGGGATCTTTATGTTATCACACACAAAAAAGGCTTCATATTCTAATATCAAATTCCCAGTAGTTATTTGCTTTCTAAAAAATCTCCAAATTGTATCCTGACCCTAGTTTTTTTCGAATAAGCACTTTTTAAAAATATACATATATTTTGCCGAAACCGGTTTGGCTCAGCGGTAGAGCATCGGTCTGCAGACTGAAAGGTCCCAGGTTCGATTCCGGTCCTGTACATTGGTTGCGGGCACATCCCCGGTCGGGGGGGTGCAAGAGGCAGCTGGTCGATGTTTCTATCTCATCGAAGTTTCTAGCTCTCTATCTCTCTCCCTTCCTCTCTGTAATAAAAATCAATAAAATATATTTTAAAATAAAAAATATATACATTTTATTGACTTTTTACAGAGAGGAAGGGAGAGAGATAGAGAGTTAGAAACATCAATCAGTTGCCTCCTGCACACTCCCCTCTGGGGATGTGCCCGCAACCAAGGTACATGCCCTTGACTGGAATTGAACTTGGGATCTTTCAGTCTCCAGGCTGACGCTCCATCCACGGAGCCAAAACTGTCCTGGCTGGAATAAGCACCTATAATACAGGAGCTGAGATAGGAGAGAAGAGGATTTATTTGCCTTCTTAGGCCTTGATTTTCTTTTAAAAAAATATATTTTATTGATTTCTTACAGAGAGGAAGGGAAAGGGATAGAGAGTTAGAAACATCGAAAAGAGAGAAACATTGACCAGCTGCCTCCTGCACACCTCCTACTGGGGATATGCCCGAAACCAAGGTACATGCCTTTGACCAGAATCCTCTGTCTGCAGGCAGACGCTCTAGCCACTGAGCCAAACTGGTCAAGGCAGGCCTTGATTTTCTTCAGCTAGAACTCCAGCTCCTTACCCTGAGCTCATAACCCTCTGCTCAGCCTCACTGGTCTGGTCTTGAGGAGATGCATGCAAGAAACTTCCCTGTCTGGCCGAAACCAGTTTGGCTCAGTGGATAGAGCATTGGCCTGCAGACTGAAAGGTACCGGGTTTGATTCTGGTCAAAGGCATGTACCGTGTTTCCCCGAAAATAAGACATCCTCCGAAAATAAGACCTAGCACATGGAAAGATAAGACATGCCCTGAAAATAAGCCCTAGCGCAACTTTGGGAGAAAAAATTAATATAAGACTCTGTCTTATTTTTGGGGAAACAGGGTACCTTGGTTGCAGGCACATCCCCAGTAGGGGATGTGCATGAGGCAGCTGATCAATGATTCTCTGGCATCGATGTTTCTAGCTCTCTGACCCTTTCCTTCCTCTCTGTTAAAAAAAAAAAAAATCAATAAAATATATTTTTTAAAAAGAAACTTGTCCTGTTTGGCTGGGTGTGACTTGTTGACCATCAGGCTATGAACCAGGTTAATTCCCGATCAGGGCACATGCTTGAGTTGCAGGCTCAATCCTGGTAGGGGGCACAGGAGGCAGCTGATCAATTATTCTCTCTCATCATTAATGTTTCTATCTCTCCCTCTTCGAAATCAATACGTGTGTGTGTGTGCGTGTGTGTGTGTGTATGTGTGTGTGTGTGTATGTGTGTGTGTGTATGTGTGTGTGTGTGTGTGTGTGTGTGTATATATATATATATATATATATATATATATATATATATGAAGTTTGTCCTGCTCCTCTAGAAGGCTACTGATTTTGGCATTCCTTTTCCCTTCATCATCATATTTCTTCTAACTTTTTATGGCTGTTAATCTTCACCCAAGGATATTTGTCCATTGATTTTTAGGGAGAGTAGAAGAGAGAGGGAAAGACAAAGAGAAACACCCATGTGAGAGAAACACATCAATTGGTTGCCTCCCACAGGAGCTCGGCCCATTGCCTGAGCCAAACTGGCTAGGGCTTAACTTTTGATTTGATTTGTTTGTTTGTTTAAAATCCCTTCCTCCTCACAAGTGAGCTTGGCCCCCTTCTTGCAGCCCAGGGGGCAGTGCATAGTGGGACTGGTACCACTGTCAGTAGGGTGTGCTGTCAACAAGCATGATGCAGTTCTTTACTGGAGTCTTAGTACAAACCAGTTTGTTGTTGGG